TTATAATGAGAACATGGCTGCAGTGGACAGAGCAGACCAGATGAGAACTGCTCATTGCTGTGCCAGGAAATCTTGCCTTTGATGGACTTACACATTTGGTTTTTGGTGGACCTTTCCATTTCAAACGCCCTTTGTTTTTAATGAAGGAGGCACCATTTATGGGCGTTGAACAAGAACGGGAATGGTGGATAAATTGACACAGCTTATTGCTATGTGTGTTGATTGTTTCCGAAGGTGCTACGAGACCATCTGCAGAAGCGATCATCGACCATTAACGGAGTTAGGCAATGGCACAAAATGAAGAGTTTTGGTATAGGGAAAAAGGCAAGCTAATGCAGAAAGCCTAAGTCACAAAAAGGCATTACGTGATTTCGCAAGATACATGAACCCAAATCAAAACATTTGATAATCTTTTGGATTCTAATCCAGGCAAGAATATTATTGAGGAAGCTCAAGATGGAAGGTTAAACAACCAAAATGATCTTGATTCTTTGTGATGTTATCCGCACCTTGGCTGTACAATCTTGCCTTTCGTGAGATGCTGATGAGACCAGCAACTTCTACGAGATTGGGCAGTTAATCAGCCAACATTGTAGCATTTATGATACTGGCAGAATCAACAAAATTGCGACCATACCTGTTATCTTAATGGGCAAAATACCCAAAATAAGTTAATAAAGATGTTGGTTGATGCAGTACAACTTAGATAATTCATGAGCTAGATGAAGCACCATCATTCTCCAGTAATGGCTGCACTACCCAGATCTAGCAATAAGGATCAGTTGTCCATTATTGTGATATATGTCATCGATGACAAACCTGTTGAGCGCTTGCTGTGCCTACGTTGCTTGAAGGCTTAAGTGGCAAAATAGGAAAAGATCTTTCGCCAAAAAAGGAAGTCCTATATAAACCATGTCAGGCTCACAGGTTGAATACATTTGTAGGAAGAAGCTCCAAAGCCAGCAAATTTGTTTCATCTATGTTTGACATTCTAGAAACGTTGTACATGTTTTTTACAAGCAGCACAAAACGATCGGAAGCACTTGAGAAGGAACAAGACAAGTGGTGTGGATTAAAGTGACGATATATACATACTTGTTGGATTGCTAGGTCAGAGTCTATTGATAGTGTTTAAGACATTTAATTTATATTCAGCTTGCAACCATGATATTTGTATGCGTACTTGCAAGGTACTGGTTGTGCAACCTCAGGAGGAGGGTCTGAATTTACTAGATTATCGGTTAAGTGTATCCACGATAAAGGCTTTAGAGAAAATAAGAAACGAAGATGATGTGAAAACTAAATTGAAGCTGCTGTAGCAATGCGAAACAGTTTGGAATTGATCAAGAAGAAGATTCAGCAACATCACCGTAAAAGATTAATTCCAAGAAAATTTGACGAAAACAGAGACAATGAAGCAGTGCTCCCGAGGGTAATTTACGAAGAGAATCTTTTGTTTTTACATAATTACAGATTGTAAGGAAAACAGTAGAAGCTTTTGGAGAAAGTTAAACCATTTACAGTTTTGATACCACCTTGGATGAAATCAATGAAGAATTAGCCGAGAATTGGATCAATTGTTGGGAGAAAAAAATTCCAAGCCATAAAACTTCGTAAAATTTCAACCTAACTGCAGAGCTCACTGTTTTGAAAGAGGAATGCCTGGTCAGAAGCTGTTAAAAGACATCTTTCTTTCTTTCAAAAGTCTTTCTATGGTAGGCCGAATGGTGCAAAATTAAAGAAAAATTTTTTATTCAACAAAACCAAGAAATTGAACCAAGTTCAAGAACATATTAAGCGTCAAGAGTGTAAATCAAAGTCAAGGAGGTGAATGAGCATCTGCAATTCAAGAATATAAATCAATGTCAACAAAGTAAATCAATGTCAACAAATCCCAAGATGCCATTCTTCACAATTTTGGCGCGAAATGACATTTTTGCAATGGCTGACAATATGGGAAGGCATCTTTCAATCTGTCAACGAGACGATGCAGAGTGTGCTACTAACCAGCAGTTGCAAGAGGTGGCAGGCTTGTGCTTAGAAGATGCAGTCCGTGTTTTGCAACAAGTGATTCATTAGTACCAGGAGAGAGTGAGTCTGGGCATATTTTAATGGCACTTTTGAGAAATTTTCAATTGTTATCAGCTGGCTGGAGGAATGCACCTTTATCTTCTGATCCTTGCTCAAGTGTTGCAATTTATTCATTGGTGTACCACCACTGGTTCGGAAGTGGAAAAGCTGGCAGGCCGAAATTTGAGATCAGTGAAGAAGTACTATTACAGTTTAGGGTTCACATGACACAAATTGCTGAGATGCTACTGGTTTCTCGTTGGACTATCAGAAGAAGGGTAGTTGAGCTAGGTTTACAAGTATTTCGGGATACTCACATATATCAGATGAAGACCTAGACACAAGGGTTGCTCAATTTATGCAACAGCATGGCACACTTGTTGGCTGTTTGATCATAAGTCGGCATTTGAATTCTCTTGTCTGAGGGTACAACGACGGAGAATCAGGGCAAGTATTATTCGCATGGATCCAAGAAGTAGTAGACTGAGATGATCTGTTATTGTATTTTGGCGGCAATATTCAGTTGAGGGGCCGGATAGTCTATGGCATGCAGATGGCCACCATAGTTTAGTCACATGGGGGTTTGTTATTCATGGAGCCATAGATGGGTTTTCCAGATGTATTGTTTACTTGGCTTGTTCACCAACAACAGAAGTGAAACTGTAAGCAAGTTGTTTGAACGAGCTGTTCATAATTTTGGATGGCCATCTAGAGGAGAACTGATACAGGCGGTGAAAATGTTGGTATCTGAGCAATTATGGAGGAGAGTTTCGAGGGGCAAACAGAGGTCGTCAGTGCACAACCAACCAATAGACCACTTTCACGCGGCAGCCATTAAGATACGAAAACGAGGCTAAAGCCGCAAGATTCTCTCTTTTTCTGATGGCAGAAATGGAACTGAGCCGATCGCAAAGGCCTTGGACAAAACTATTATCCGATGTTCCAGATGTGACTTTTGGCTGAGTAGAAGCTTTCTGCCGAAATGATCCTAAGTTGCCAAAAAGTCACGAAAAGAAGGGGTGGAATTTCTACATTGGGGGTTTCATTGATTGGGAGCATCTTGAGTTTATGAGGAAGGATGGCAGCGAATGCATAATTCGAGGTACTTGTTACCAGTCAATGAAAAAGAATGAGAGTCCACATCAACTAAAGGTAAGATAATTATCAAAACTAGCATATTATTTTGTAAAAGGCTGCTGGATTGAAGTGTCAAATGTGTTTTGCTGTTCACGATTATAACAGATAAGATAGACTAATTAGCTAGACTTAATTTTCCCTTGTAGGTTGTGCTTTCAAGTTGTTCAGCAACTACCCAGCTAGTTTTCAGACAGTGTTCTTGTGTTGCTGGCAAGGGGATTTGTAACCACATTGTTGCATTGCTGTATACACTTGCTCATTTCAAGACTGCTGGTTACAAAATTGTACCACCAATTGTTACATGTACTTCAGTCTCACAGCAATGGCATGTTCCATCCAGAACTAATGGTATATTTCCTCAACCAGTTAAGTCCTTAAGGGTGCAGAGCCCACTTGAAAAAAGTGCAAAGTTGTCAGCCAGGAAAAGAAATCTATCAGATATTGCAATTTTAGGGAAAAAAAGAAAACCAGTCGAGTGTGTGAAGCCAAAGATATATAATCCCATTAGACAAGGATTATATGAAACAGCTTCAAGTTTTTCTGCTGACTTAAGAGCAAATCTTTTCAAATTCGAGAATCAGCTGCAAATTTTTAAGGTACTACCAGTTAGCTTTTCAAATCAAGTTAAAATTGATTCAGCTTATGGATCAGTTTACAAAGGATCTACGCTGGCAAATCAGAATCAAGTAGTGAATTCTGTAAACTTGATTCCAAACAAAGAAGTGCTTCAGTGCCCACCATTTCAACTGCCAGACATAACCAGAAAGTTTGCAACAGCATTGTCAGCAGCTGAAATTGAATGTTTTGAAGGGTTTGCTGTATCTGAAGAACTAAGTGTCAAATATTAAGAAATGACTCGAGATCAGTCATTGTCTGAAGATTGGAAGCGGCTACGAAAATACAGGCTAACAACGTCAATAAGTTTCAAACAGATTTGTTGCCCGAAAAAAGACTTTCACAAACTAGCAGAGAATTTTCCTAGTGGAAGATGTGTGACCACTGCTGCCATGCTCTATGGTCTCAAGCATGAAAATGAGGCCTCAGAAGCTTATGTTAAATTGACTGGTAATAATGTTTATAGTGTAGGCATTGTTATCAATCCTACTGCACCTTATCTTTCATGCTTCCCTGATCGACAAGTATTTGACAGCAAAATGATTTCGGCTGAAAGATTTGGACTTCTGGAAATTAAATGCCCTCAGGCCAATTCTTACATTGAATTGCCATATTTACAGCTCAAGAATCGAGGCTATACGCTAAAGACCAATAATATGTACTTTCACCAGATACAAGGTCAAATGGGGATTGCTGGTGCAAAAAGTGTGTGACTTTATGGTATATTTTAATGAGATATGCACTTGGAAAGGATAAAGTTTGATAAAGAATTTTTTCAAAGTATGAAAGACAAAGTGGACATATTTTATTTTACTTACTTTTCGTCTGCTATCATCAAGAACAAGATTTAAAAAGTAACTGTTCATGCCTTTTGTTAAAAGTATTAAAACAAAGGTCCTTTAAAGTTTGATAACAAGCAGGAAACTGTCCATAATTGATTAACTGTCCCTGCCATGTTTAAAATATAATTCTGTCAAATATATGGTTTTCTGTAATTCTTCTAATTGCCCTTTCTACATTCTGCTGGTTGTTGATGCTGATATTTTTGCCCTAAAAGAAATGTCAGTTGCCATTAACCCACCTTTTAGAAAACAAGTGAACAGAAAGATCCTTGCACTTCTTAACACACCCTTTGTTTCTCTGATACTGGGACCAGAAAACCATTTTCTCAGCAGTTGGCTGGAGTGCTTCAAAGGTGCCTTTCAACATATCATAGTTTTCAAGACCAGAGTAAAATTTTCTTTCATTTGAGCTTGACTTTAGACTTGATGTTCCAAACTTGTATGTTTCCAGATGACTTATAGTAGCCTCTAGCTTTGATATGTGTTCTTCTGCCTTTCTTAGCTTCTCTTCTAAAGGTATCACATCATTGCCAAGGTGGTAATCATGTAAATTGTTAACGGGACTGATAGTACTGGCTGTACACCATCCTCTTTTGCATGGTTATCACAATTTCTAAAAAAATAACATTAAAATGTGATGATTCTTTTGAAATTATTTACGTTACATACAAAAAATAAATCATTGTTTTCATTCAGAGTTTAATTGAAAATAATCAATATTTGCTTCAACACTTGGATCAAGTATTTAAATATATTTTACATAATGAATAAAAGTTTCCATGTTTTTCATTCTTCTTGCATAAATATAGACTGGTAGAGTATTTCTTGTACAATTTTTTAGTTATTTGCAAATAAGAACCTATTCCGATGTTCAAGCTGAATCAGCTCTCATTAGATCAGAGCCCAGTTAAAAATTCAGCCTTTAACTTCTTATTTAACCAGGCTGCAGGTTTTACCCCAAATCCACCTATGCTGGTATATAAAATATGATTTGATTTCAAAACAATACCTGCATTTTATAACCCAAAAGACTGGATACCAATTACTGAATGATATTAAAAAAAATTGTTGCATTAAGCCTGAATAGCTAAAAATAAAACATCAATTACCCATTCAAATTTCCCCTGACTAAAGGTGGTCTTCTGTTTGTTGGCTCTGAAAAATTGTTCCATTCAAAGAAAGTAGGAATTCATGAAAGGAGATAATAGCTGCGGGAAAGTATCATATTAGGCGCCAATGAAAACAAACCTTAAAATGACATCCAGGATCACGCCTTATCTTGTTTATCCAGACTGACTTGGCTTCCTTGTCTTTTGGAAAAGTATGAAACGAAAAGTATGTCTCTCTGGGTCGTATCTAGCATCGGAAAAACATTGATAAACACAACAGTGGCTGTGATCTGTTGATGTTGACGCCATGCCGAAAAGTGGAGTTCTTCTTGCAGACTTAGCCTCATTTCAATTTCCACTGTGAAAGAGGTCTATTGAACATTTATGGCGTGATGTTTTTTGTATGGTGTGCCATTTGTACTACTATACCTTCCAGGCAATGGAAGAGTCAGGGTTCCTGAACATGGGTGATGAAATTCATAAATTTATCCTCTATTTCGCTTTCCTTGAAAGAATAAATCTAGCTCTTGGCAGTTTTGTTTCATCATGGAACAATCATCCAATGCGCACAGCTCGCAACTGGTCACCCTTTCGAATCTGGGTAAATGGATTCCTAGACATTCGTAACCATGAAAATGTAGGTATTTCTGACATTTTTTAATTGTCACCAGATATGTAGAATGGTATGGATATGACCCACAAGCTCCACCTCCCAGTGATGATGGACTTTCATCAGTGAAAGTATCAGATGCAGAGCCTAACCTCCCAGATGATATGTTGGAACAGCTAAAAACTCAGATTGACCCTTATGCGCATTCAGACAATTATGGAATTGACCTATTTTTGAGAGCTTTGGACTTAATCACGGAAGCCCTAGCTATCTGATTCAAAACTTTACTTGAATTAGCATGGATCTATTGTAATTTAGTTGTCTTGAGTAAAGTCACGTGGGTACAATGTCCGCAGATATGCGTTCTATCTATCTATCTATCTATCTATCTATCTATCTATCTATCTATCTATCTATCTATCTATCTATCTATCTATCTATCTATCTATCTATCTATCTATCTATCTATCTATCTATCTATCTATCTACCTATCTACCTATCTACCTATCTACCTATCTACCTATCTACCTATCTACCTATCTACCTATCTACCTATCTACCTATCTACCTATCTACCTATCTACCTATCTACCTATCTACCTATCTTCAGATCGGTGAAGGTGCCCTAAAGCAACCTTTGTGTAGTTTGCCACTGCCCATCGAAAGATCTTGATTTACTGGAAGCGGCCAATTCTGTTAAGACTCTTATTTTATGGACTTGCTGGTAAGAACAAAAATTCTTTTCCCAAAAAGTCTTAACAGAAATAATCCAAATATAACTTTGGAAATGTGGATTTAGGGCAGTACACTGTGCAATATATGTTAGAATCATAGTAGGCAAAAATGACTCAAATCACGGAAAAAATAGCGAAATTGCACAAAGATCATGTTTGTTGCACATTAAAAAAACTTTAAAAAAGTGCCGTTATCTACCTTTAAAAGAAAATTTTGAAAAAAACTTCTTGAGTCATAAATTGTATATGTAGCTGGAGTCTTCTGAGCTCCGATCACGTTTCGGGATGGTTAAGATTTTCTGATTTTTTTGCCAGAAAAGCTATTTATACACGGTAAAAAATACTCAGGGTTGTTAATAGTAGCCAAAATAACATTTTCACGCAAGATTCTTGCTGCTTTATCATTCATTGTAAAAAATACATCGGTTTTTTCCAAAAAATAATTGTCTACGTGTGGGTGGAAATAGGGCTGCAGCAAAATCATAGTGTCATTTCTCAGAATTGTTTTTTGATTTTATAATGAAACTTCTAAATTTTGTTTTCCGATAGTATAAACAATAATTATACGAAGTCTCATTTCGATTTGAACTTTCCCGTCACTTTTATGAAGGATTACTTGATGCAATCTTTTGACACATTTTAAAGGTGGAATTAGGGCTAATAAACATAGAAAATGCAAAAAACAATGAAAAAATCAGCCTTTTTTCGTCTCTTTTGCCAGAGACATACCATAACGTTCACATTTAACATATTGTTGCATTACCGAACAATTTACGTTGTTTTTTCTATGATTGCAAAAAATCTGCTTTTCAATGCTCCTCCCACCTTTTCATATTCAGCTATTGCACATTAGGTACAATTGCACGAAGAAGATTGCTTAGCTACTTCTTGTAAGGCCAGCCGTTTTTATATTTTTTGATCGTTGTATGAAGCCCCATCATCAAGAGTATCGCATTAACCTAGCAAAGAGGGCGCTACTTATGCCCGTCTTGAATCGTGACTCTACGAAACTATAAATATCACTTTTCCTATGGTAGCTATGCCAATCAAAGTGCATTAAAACACAACATACATGCTATAAAAATCATTGTTTTATAAAAATCGTGATTTCATGTGGCTCCAACAACTTTTATACATGCGATGGATACATTGGCTACTGAACGCAAAAAATGGACATTGTTTCATCTTAGTAGCCAATCGTCAGATATACTAAAACCTCGACAAAACTTTAACGGAAATTGCATTAAAACACAACATATATGCTATAAATATCATTGTTTTATAAAAATCTTGATTTCATGTGGTTCCAACAACTTTTATACATGCGATGGATACATTGGCTACTGAACGCAAAAAATGGACATTTTTTCATCTTAGTAGCCAATCGTCAGATATACTAAAACCTCGACAAAACTTTAACGGAAATTGCATTAAAACACAACATATATGCTATAAATATCATTGTTTTATAAAAATCTTGATTTCATGTGGTTCCAACAACTTTTATACATGCGATGGATACATTGGCTACTGAACGCAAAAAATGGACATTTTTTCATCTTAGTAGCCAATCGTCAGATATACTAAAACCTCGACAAAACTTTAACGGAAATTGCATTAAAACACAACATATATGCTATAAATATCATTGTTTTATAAAAATCTTGATTTCATGTGGTTCCAACAACTTTTATACATGCGATGGATACATTGGCTACTGAACGCAAAAAATGGACATTTTTTCATCTTAGTAGCCAATCGTCAGATATACTAAAACCTCGACAAAACTTTAACGGAAATTGCATTAAAACACAACATATATGCTATAAATATCATTGTTTTATAAAAATCTTGATTTCATGTGGTTCCAACAACTTTTATACATGCGATGGATACATTGGCTACTGAATGCAAAAAGTGGACATTTTTTCATCTTAGTAGCCAATTGTCAGATATACTTTGGGAATCAATGCTGCAGGGGATTTTGATGTTAATTGAACGAAAAGTTAATAATTGGTTGCTTAAGATCGTGTATGAACGCATAATGCATTTAATTGAGAGAGATGGTAAAGTCTGATGTAGGCTAGAGGCTAGCTGACACTTTCTTTTTTACTTTTTACTTTAAGTATACTATTCCAGCTTTTCATTGCCTCGTCAATTCTAGGTGTTCATCAGTCCAATCAGTCGTTTGTTTCTAACGGCCCTTTAAATTTGAGCATCGTTGATATCTCTCAGCCCATTGTTTGCTTGGCTAATTTGTTCCTCTTTTGTTCGTTTCTTCCTGTGAAGTCTGTATCACCAAATGCTGATTTCTTCAATTTTCGTAACCGAATGTATTCCATGAGATGGTCTTCGTTTAAAGATGCTTGAGTAAGGTCCATTTCTGTAATTTGGTTGCACTCGAGTGTGCTTTTCTTAGTAATAGGATTTATGCAATAGATTTATAGATTATATGAAATGAAAGGTAGTAACGCTATTTGTGTAATTGACTGAAATTAATTAAGACACTGTAATAATAGCTGAGAATGTCTTAAACTCTAGCTGTACTGATAGCCTTGATATTAGGTCGAAACCAGTTCTTACAATATATTATATAACGTTCCGTGTAAATTGGGAAAGCATGCAAGCTAGTGCCTGCAAGGTTACAGTAGGTTTAGCTGTGGTGCATGATATATGAGCTTTAATTATATATTTTTGTCAAGACTTCCAAATGCTCAACAATTAAAGACAGGCTAGAAACTTCCTCCTCGCCTGTTACTAAAGGCTATTGAGGTATCTTTTAATTCACTTATCTGTGTAAATTCGATCCAAACGTTAGCAGGAAAATTTGCGATTGCTATGTAATTGATGGCCTATGCAGTGCTGGAAAAATAGCTGTGATAGTTTAAGAAAAACAAATATCTTGAATATTCTAAGAAGGTAAACTCACTTGCTTTCGATTCATAGATTGTCGTGGTAACTAATTGATCTATCGTCTAATGTAAGCTAAAAATGGTACAAGTGTATCTGCAGGAGAGTTTGAGGCTTGCTGCTACTCAGATGCGCGATTTTGTAGGTTTAGAACTTTTAAAAATTGCATTTGATCTTGTTTTTCTATTGAAGAAATTGATTCGGCAAGCATCTCGAAGAAGTTGATTTCCTGCTCGCATCTTTATGTTCAAAGCCAACCAGCAGCGACTTACTTCGTGAAATGCGCATTTTCACGTGGCTGAATGACTCTTCTGCGGTATGTTTTTTTACTTTCATGGTCATATCTTGTATTAAATAGCTGTTTTTATCAACCACTATACTATATATAACTTTTGGAATATTAACAAAGTTTGATAGTACTGACTCTCACATACACATTTCAGTAAATCAGCTTCTTAATCTGCGAATTCTTAAATCCATTCAAAAGCTTTATTTTGTGTTACATGTGCCTGAAAAATACTATAAATTATTAGGACAGATATTCATTGATTTGTTAATGTGTGGAAATCGAAATAATGCACTTAAAAGGTTGGATTTCTAATCATGGAAGAACAGACTTATGGTTTCATGAGTAACTCATGCGCATTGCTTGCCATAAGATAGAGATAGCTAAATCCATGATTTATCTTAGTATATTACATAATACTTGTAGTTCCAGTCTTACCTAACAACATCAAGTGTAAATTCTTCTAACAATAGTTTCTCTACATTGAAAATTTTTTAAAAAGCTAAGTGGGTATTTTATTTGGGATAGAGAGTAGTAAACACATACCTTTTCAAGTATTAATAATAATCTTATCTTTTTTAGATCATAGCTAATCTAGACATCGTATGACGACATAGTATTCAATTACAAGCACGCGAGCTTATATTATCCAAGAGATATAAAGCCGTTTTGCTTAAACTCAATTTGTTTCTAATTCTTCGCAAAAAATATAGCATCAATTAAATTA